TTCCCCCAACATAGGATTGGATCAGCGGCGGGGTGCGCGTCCCCTGGGGAAGGATAGGATACGGCCCCAGAGGCCTCATCCAGTACGAGGGAGTGGGCTTGTGGTGTGGTAGTCGCTACCGTTCGCAGAAATTTCAACGGAAGAAGGTTTTCCTCTGGTTGCGTGATTCATTTCGTTCCGTTTTGCACTCACCTCCTAGCTTCCCTTCTATGGAAGAAATTGAATGACTTTGGGCTATATATGAACTTTGGGGTATATGAGCACCTCAAGGGAAGGAGGGGGATGAGACCCAAAATTGGTTGAAAACCGAAGAAATTCCGAAACTTGGCTTATAACTTGGCGTCTCCGTAACCTCCCGTTCCCCTCTCTCTTTCTCTGCAACCTCAAGTTCTCGCTTCTTTGAAGACGAAGTGGGTTTGAAGACGACGGGGAATGCATCGGTGATTGGAAATAATTGTTACTCTATACTTATTTAATAGCCGTGCACATAGTTAAACTGAGTCTTTTTCATTGAAAGTTTGAAATACGGGTTTTTTATAAGATTCAAAATTCCTACTGTAATCACGAAAACTTCTCCTGAACATACATGCCTTGGGAAGACGTGGGGGAGTGGAATTGGCAAGATCATAGTAGTTTACCGGCGAGCTTTAGTTGTTCATAGACCAGCGATCATGAATTTTATCTCAGCGAGAGGGCGCAGACGAGCAGAAAATGCTCCCAGTAAGACGAACTCCGTCCTCGCTTTCATGGGGCAGATGATAATGCTATGTTCTCCAGGTAGGAGGTGCGGTGGCCGTTGGTGAACAACCGATCAAAGGACTCATTTGTCCGGCGGCAGGAGCCAGAATGACGGTCGCCGAGACGCTGACAAATCTCCTGGCGGCTCCCATAACTGATATAAGGGTGAGCAGTACTGTCACTGCATTGATGAGGTGCTGCTACAAAGACCTGCTGTCTTTTCAGGATGTGAAAATGTCTGGTAATTGGATGTGGGCAGCGAAATGCGAAGGCGAAGGTGTTCGATTGGTCGAGGCCTGTGATGCTCTTTGTGAGGTAAGATATGCGGAAATTTCATCCAACTACAGTAATCCTGTAAAGAATTCACGCAGCATTCCAGAATTGAACAATTTGGCCTTAAATGATCAGTCATTAGCAACAATATTTATAGGCCTCTAGGCGCTTGTGGGATGCGCTAATCGGACGCTGGCACAAAGATTGGCTGGAGTAGTGCACGAAAGTCGGCGATGAACTGGTGAAGGTGCTGCCAAATTCCACCCCAATACTAGGTCACGCCCATCCATAGCAGCTATAGCAGTCAATATTTCAGGCCCTGGAACACTGGTTTTATCAGCGTATGCGCCATGCCCTGACGTTACACCACAGTACTCTACACGCTGATTCAAGGACCGAAGGAGGTATGTTTGTCTAGGCAAAATGCAAGCACTCTGATGTGCACTGGTTCCAGAAGATCATTTTTAAGGCTCCTCAAGTGATAAATTTCAAATTTCAGCTGGCAGTGACTGCACGAAGATCATTTATGTTCGTATGGGGAGTTCGCTGAAGTACAATCGACTCGGTGGCTCGGCTCTTGCTCAAGTTCTACGCCAGGTCAGCCCAAACATTATTCCTCTGCTGTAGAACAACCTCATCTTAATGAGTCTAGGTTCCGCTGCGCTTGAAGTAGTTTGTATACCTGCCAAAGTGACTCAGTAGGGTCTCAAGTAGTTTTCTAGCCAATATAATCCCAGCCGTCGCATTCTTCGCTTTCCTCATCACTCGCAACTATTTAGATTCCGCTGGATGCCTGTGTTGTTGTAGAGGTGATTCCTACTTCTGCAGAGCCCGTCGCGCCGAGAACGTAAGTGGTGCATTTTTTAGTAAATTTCAGAAATGAAAAACTTTTTACCATCAAAACACTACAAATGTCTACATAAAGACTGTATGATCTTCTAATAATTTATTCGCACAAGTCGGAAGCTTTTAGACAAGAAACTTGCAAAATTGTGTATTTTGCAAAAGTTTTTGCAAACGCTTAGTTTTTTTTTCGGTGAGCTTGTCATTTTTTATCAAAAATTTGTGAAATTTTTCCCTTCCGATGGTGGTATATAAAATCCTGGTATACGGTGCTGGTTTAATAGATGTAAAAATTCTGTAGATAGACCAGGAGAGCCGCCGTGCAATTCTACAAAGGCGGGCGGCGCAAGTTGGTCAGCGGGCGAGGCGCAGCGCGTACTGCAATCATTTCGCCCATAGATAAATGGGATGTGTTGTACTGTATAGGTCCCACATCACAGACCACGCGCTGTGACTCGCCCGCTGACCCCTCTCGCCGCACGACGGGCCTCCTGTCGGGTACCCAAAAAGCATTTTATTCACTTGAAGCGGTCTCACAAACCAGAGTTTTATATGATACAGCCAATAATGGAAACATTTAACATAATTTCTGAAAAATTAAAGAAGTAGTGTCTTTTTTTTTATTATTTTCAGGACAAATTCATGCATAACACATGTCGTACTTGTCACACTCTATTCGAAAAATTGCTTGGCTGTTTTCACCACAACCCCCCCTTCTTACTCGCCGAAGCTCGCCCTGATACGCCCATAGAAAATACTTTTGGAGACATTATCACTTAAAGCAACAGTCCCAGCAGGGTGGGCGTGGTTGGAAACGGCTGCAATCCCCTCGGCCGATTCCCACTTCGGAGCTGTTCAGCCCCTAGTCAAGAACGTAAGAAGTGTGACTGAACAAAAACTCACCTTGGAAAGCCGCTAGGGAGGGAGCTGAAGTGGGCGTGGTCGGAATCGGCCGAGGGGATTGCAGTCGTTTCCGACCACGCCCACCCTGCTGGGACTGTTGCTCCAATGGCTCGGTGGGGTGATGAAATACAGTACTCACCTAGAATAGCTCTTCCCTTGACACCCAAGATGGTTCAACTAACGGTAAGATCCACAAGAGCTAGGCTCGATGTTCAAGTGAACCGTAGTTTGCTGCAAATTCTGAGGAAACTTACATTATGAATTTTCTTTTTTTTGTAAAAGGAATTCTTCTCGAAAAAAATCGTGTCGCTGGCTTAGGAGTCATCGTTCACATAAGAACGGAAAGAACAAAAAAATTGCATTTGTTTTGGTAAAAAAATTCGAAAAATCGAAAGGGCTGCTACGCGTTCAAAGTACCGCCGGACATCTGTCACAAATGCTGGCGACGGGAATGCTTCCACTTGGTTCTTGGAGTGCCTTCACTAGAAACTCTTTCTGGCCTTTTGACTTATTGCATTCACATCTCACACTTCTACTCCTATTATCGATCGATTTGTCTCTACTCTCCAAATCGCACGCTTTAACCCGATTCTTTCATTGCGTCGCCTGATACGTAGCCGCCAAAGGCGGACTTCTTTCCATGCCTCGCCTTTGGCTCCGCGCCTTTACCTTCGATTGTCCATAGAGTGTAGTTTTTGTACGTTTGTTTCTCTTCAGAAACCGAATCTTCATGCGTGAAACTTTGTGTGCTATTTCCAGTGATCACAACTGACATATTCATGTTAGGAAAGAATGCAAGAATTTTCCGCGAAGATTCCTTTAAGCACCGGTCCCACGCGGCCAAATAAGCCAAACGCGCGCGATGTCAAGCAACGAATTGCAACAGCTTCTATCACAAAATCAAAGGCAGTTCAGGTCAAATCTGGCTTACTTGGCACTGATAATGTGCATCTAATTGCGTCTAAAGGCACATTCTACGCTGGTAAGATAAGGCGATTCGGGCTTAGATATGAGAATATCGGTGCTGTTTGACGTGATATTGAGGATGAAGCAAATGAGCCTGTAAGAATTTAACACGCTATGAAATAGGAACTTACGCTCATTCATGTATGTGTTTATGGTCTGTGACGTCATATTTAATGATCTTTTAAAGGAATCATATACAAAATTTATTGTATTTAGGATTTCTCATATTACTTGGTATATATCTGAACATGGACCTCAGTGAGCGGAAGGGCCGGAAGTGTGTTATATGCGACTGAAATTGCATGGTAGGTACGGATCCACGTTCATGGGAAGGTTTTGAAGTGAATCCTGTTCACGTTCGTGCGTTCGACACGTGGATCCGTACCTACCATGCATTTCGTCACAAAAACTTCCGGTCCCGCCCACTGGTCCATGGTCCGTGGAAGATTCCTTTAAGGGTCGCACAGTATAGATTGTGGTGCCCACACAAAAACGCTGTGAACGACAAAGGTCCAAAATGAGCGTATGTTCGTCGCACGATGGTTTGAAGGCGTGGAGGCGGGTTTCGGATGACGTATTGGACGCCATTGTAAGGCGAGGACTGAGTGCGGCCATGGGCTTTCTCGAGAATGAATTTACTTGCATTCAGAGACACCGCTCTCAACGCGTTTTCGGGCAATGATCCGCAATGGGGTCAGAGTCGTCTCCAAGAAGCGATTAACCTGCCCAGCCATCGGTCAGTACAGCGCATTTGACCGTCCGTATTTTCCTGTTGAGGGATTAGAAGACGGGACGATTTTCTGAGAAGTTGCGAAATTGTTTTGCGAAAATGGTATTAAGATGAATTCTTAAATCTTCGGTTCAAGTAGCTACATATACTACCACTCCTATACTTGCTGCGCGACATTTCGAGAAGTGGATTGTGAAGCGGGTTGGGGGGGGGGGGTGTTTCGGTAATGGATGGGTCATCCCACAAGCAAAACGGCACTAGCTTATTGAAGCCATCGCACAGTGCGGGTCTTTGAGCGATGTTTGGTGTCGATTAATAAATATAGGGTACTATTCCAGTTAGGGGAACATTTCGGCATGGATGCCCAGGTTTTTCTCAGGGAAGCCACGGTACTCTGGCCAGGAGGGAGTGTCGGCTTAGACTAGAGGGTTTGGTGGTGAGGCAATCACATGACATGGTGAGAAGCTGAATGTTTCGAGATTCACACTATGTTTCGCACTGGCCGTTCATGATGGTCCCCCCTAACTGAAGTAACCCACATAATATTTAGTGCCGTTACTAGAAACTCTGTCTACCGATGGTGATGATTATTCGAATATTGAAACACCTTATAGGTAGGAGACGATGTCACCAGAATTGTTGAAATCTCGTTGATTGATTGGGCCCAGACCTTTCACGGCAATTCAGAACGGCATGACTCAGTGGACGGTTGCGATGCTTGCTCAGGTTGTTTCTTCAGACGTAATTGACGCCGATTCCACTATTTCTGTTCATGGTCATTCACCTCCTCGATTTTACGGCCGTGCAGCTAAACTTTTTTGCATTTTTTGATAGCGGATTATTTCAAGAGGACGACGCGTTCTGGTTTCACAAGGCAGCTTCGTTATAGTTTCATTTATTTTATACCAGATTAGTCCCCCGTCAACCGCCGGGACCTTCCTTTCCTGCGCAAGCTTTCTATCCTCCGCTATGGTCCCTTCCTCCTGTGACACCAACACCTCCTGGAAGTGACGCGTATGCAACACAATGGTGTTTCATACAGTAGAAGGGACACAATCATGATATGACGGTAGATTTTTCGCTTCCCTTCCTCATCCTCCCTTCCTCTCTCCACTGCCCTCCAGCTGCCACTGCAGCACCATGTGGAATGAACGGAAGTGTGCTAAGCAGGTGTTTATATAGCCCTAAGAGTGTTATCACAACTATCCTGCTACAAAACATTGATATCTCAAATCCTGTAAGCTACCCGATTTGTTAGCGGTTTGTTTATCCCATGAGCTTCCTTCTCACTCACTTCATTTTGCGGACGGACACACATACATACATACACACACACGCACACACACACACATACAGATACACAAACCGACACACAAAGTTAGCGCTTTATAAATAGAAGGATAATCAGGCTCAGAGCGAGTACTGTAGTGCCTGCTATACGGCCAGAATGGAGTTGGCTTTGTTCTGTCCCACTCGATTTGAAAGCTTTTATTCTTCAGTGCATGACGTGTCCGATGGTGGTTTTATCACCGCACTTCTGGAGATGTCATTTGCCGGTAACATCTCAATCAAAGCCTGATATCAGCTGTGAATCAGGTGATCCTATGCTGGATTACTTTATATTGGGTAAAAGTTCGTTAGTTTTTAGTTAGTTTTTTTATTCAGTTTTCAGGGTAAAATTTTTTTAGAGCCGATGTCGTTCCTTTTTGCCGAGGAGGCGGGTGTATTGCTGGAGGTGGAGAACCAGCACCTCTATAAAATTGTTGAAGATCTCAGAGCTCATACGGATGTCATGGTCGTCGGTGATGTCTACCCACAATATGGACCGGACGCTACGGTACGCTAATTGGCTAGGCACACAAAGGCCGAGAGAACGAGTTGTTTAGTACAAGGGGCGTTCGTGGTTGAAACCGTGCAGCAATCTGCTTCTTTACAAAATTTTTAGCCACGGCTATATTTTGCGGCAGACAAACACCAAAGACAGCAAGGAGAGTCCTTCATTTCCTTTGTGCTTTGTTAACTTTTGCAAGTAGGTGGTCCCGAAAAAAATTCACTTAATTTCCGTGTGTGTGTGCCGTTAGGTCTAAATTCGGCGCGTGATTATTCCACCAAGAGAAGGCGTAACTAATGTCGTGAGTCCAAATACGTAAACCTTGAATTGACATTTTTGGAGAGCCGAGATAGCGGACTGCCCTTCACCTTCAACCACGATCGCTGCGAATTGCATCACCTGGCCTCAACTGTAGCGCGCGGCAACGAACGACAAATTCGCGAGGCAGGAAACAAATCTGCTGGCCGTCCTCCGGAGGCCGATGTCAGACTTTGCGAATCGCGCGATTCGCTAGCGTCCGCGGTCGCGTTGCGGTACCAGCCAATTGAGTGATTCACTGGCCGCGACGCGACCGCAGACGCTAGCGAATCGCTCGATTCGCAAAGTCTGACATCAGCCTAGTATAAACGGCCTTCTATTTTCCTCCTTATCGTTCGAGGAAAAGCTGTTTCAGATTGAAATAATCCTAAATGATGAAGTTGTGATCAGTGAAGGCCTTGTGGCATTGCGGGAGGTTTGGGAGGAAACGTCCGATCGTCTAGGGCTAATGCAGACAAACGCCAATTGCCTGAAGGAGGCCAAACAGGTGACTTCACAGTAACTGCGGCTAAATATACTGCCAAAGTACCTTGAAGTACCCGCGGCTCAACTGGCTCCGATATTTATTGATAAATTTTCAGGTACGAACGACCACAAAAACTGTGTCGTACTCTGCTCCATTCGAATGGGTAGCACCCAACCCTCTACCATACCTGATGGGAATGAAATCCGGTATTGATTGACTCGTAAATCAATTATTCTTTCGTGGAAATTGTCAGCTGACTTCAATTTTTCTAGCGCCTCGAGTGGCGATTATTCGAGAAGAAGGCTCTAATGGTGATCGTGAAATGGCGGCCGCTTTCGCTTTAGCCGGGTTCGAACCGCATGACGTCACCATGACAGATCTTCTAGCTGGACACAAACTTGATCCGTATAGGTTTGATCTAGCAGCTCTTCTTATTTTTCCACAACTGTTCTGGTACAGGCGTCCGTTTCAGGGTTGTGGCATTTGTCGGCGGGTTCTCCTATGCTGATGTGCTCGGTTCGGCCAAAGGTCTGTTGAGATTATTGTTCGGCATTTGGTAATCAGTAAAACTCTGAGATTGCTTTGCGATAATGTGCTTTAGCTTCAAAATCCGCTTCTTCATGGGCATTTAGTGGTGTACGTGTCATGGCGTTATTTTTGACGATTCTGCACGGGTTACAATCGGGTGTCCCCAAGAGGCCCGTCGCGCGGCGAAGGAAGAGACGCAGATGCGGCAAAGGACGAGTCGCAGCGCGTGCTGTGCGATATGAGACGTAGTATGGTACACTCTATTTAACCTGACGCCTAACCGCTACAGTATGCGCTGCGACTCGTCCTTTGCCGCGTCTGCGTCTCTTCCTTCGCCGCGCGACGGGCCTCTTGGGGGACACCCGTTACAATCTCATAGAAATGCGACCTAGGAGGGGGGAGGGACGTTCGCAGAAAGATTATAAGGTTGGCAGTAATATGGGTGGAGTTCAGCAATCATGGTTCCCCAATAGGGGATTGAAGAAGAGTGTTATGGGAGGGATTTGGGCATCACTTGGGAACTTGACGGCATTTTGTATTGGTAGGCAAAATATTTTGGCTGTCGTGATGGAAATCTGTTAGAATAATATTAACCTCAGTCCGAGATATGGTGAAATATATTCGTTCAAAAAGATCAAATTGTTGTTGACCTGTTTTTGATTGTCAACAACAAGTTGATTT